TACCCATGAGCCACCATACTCAGCTCTCTCTCTTTTTTTGAACTTGTAATTTAACCTTTTTCTTCTTTCCCCATTCAAGTACCAAATTAAATGTGGCCTTTTAGTTGTTTTGCACTTATTTTCACCCAGAATTCTATTAAAATTCTTCCAGTTGAGCTATAGCTAGTAGATTCTTAAACCTAGTCCAGGAAAAGGTAGGAATAACAAGTGACAGAAATGTTCACATTTCAGTCTTCGGGAGTTGTCTGTGTTGTCTGCAGCAGAGCTGCTCACTGTGGCTTAATGGAGCCATGAATTTCATGGCTGAGATTCTAGAGTTAGGCTACATGGTTGTGAATCTCAGTTTTCCACCATTATTTTGTAGGAAAGGAAAGATTTCTTTTCATACCCATCACTAGGTTCATGGTTGAGGCCCTATAACAAAAAAGGAGATTAACAAGAGGCAAGCATACAGATGTATTTAATGTTTTACATGACACAGAAGCCTTTAGAGCAGTGGTTCTCAACCTGTGGGTCGTGACCCCTTTGGGGGTCGAACGACCCTTCACCTAAGACCATGTTGCATATCAGATATTTACATTATGATTCATAGCAGTAGCAAAATTACAGTTATGAAGTAGCAACGAAAATAATTTTATGGTTGGGGGTCACCACAGCATGAGGAACTGTATTAAAGGGTCACGGCATTAGGAAGGTTGAGAGCCACTGGGTTAGAGATAAAGATCCAAAGAACCAGATAACCTGCACATTTTTATACTTAGGTTTGACAAAGAACAGAAATATGTTGGAGGACAAAAGAGTATTTTCTGGTGGCATTAAACTGGGGGGAACTTAGCAAGGCCTGTTTGTTCACATTCTTCTCTGTGTCCCTGTGTCTACATAGATAGGGGAGAAAGGGCACCTCTCCGATCAGGGTCTTAGGAACGGCTTCCAGGGAGAAGGGAGAGTTATGGCCTGCTTCAGGGGAGAAGAGCAGTGGAAGGAGAGGGAGACTTCACTGCCTCTGCTGCTTTCCACATGCCAATGTGCTGTATTTTGGCGTAGCATGTCCTGAACCCCATCAACTTGCTGTGTGCCTGTGGGCAGTTTACTCCAGCCTAAGGCTCACCCGTAAAGTGAGGGTAAATAATGAGATCTGTCTCTTGGGGTTGTGAGGATGCGGAGCAGCACCCAGAGCCCTTAGCATGTACCTGCCTTACGTGCTTGTTCAGTACCTGTTGGCTGTTGGGATCTTCATTTCATTAGTGGTGTTGTCAGTACTTCTACATTTATGGTTCCACTTGATCTCTTATTTTATAATGATATTGGCATTAGGTAACTTTGTTTTTAAAAAAGTCTGTTATGATAAATGTGAGTTAATAAAAATTTAAACTTAAATTGACATGGTAAGCACCATCATAAGCAAAGGCAAAAGGCAAGTGACAGACTGAGGGGAAAATGTATGTGCAGTTTGCAACAAAAGGCTTCTTTTCCCTAACATACAAAGAACTACAACTCAGTAAAAAATGGGACACTTATAAACCTTTTTATGGTGATTCATTTCCACTTAACTGTGCTTCAGATTTCTTATCTTTAATGCACATTCTCAGAGTCTGCTGGGAAAACCTAGATTGGAGAGGGGCTTAGGAGCACGCAGCTAGTCAGTGAGAGGCAGCCGGAGTTTGTAAACAGACTTGAAGTTGTTTCCCCCCTTAAAATAGCTCCCTCTTTCAATGTACTCTCATCTACCTGTTTACCTTTCACCACTGGTTTTTCCCATCTCCTCCTCAGCTGGCCAGTAGCTGAGCCCTTTTGTCCCTAGTATTTCCCATCTGCTCCGTCCCAGGCTTTCCAGGCCCAGTGCTGCTGTTTTGGTTAAGAGACACACCATATCTTCCTCATGACCAAACTTCTACCACTGTCTCCTTTCCTTTCTTTCTGCCACTTAATCTGAGTCTCCACCTTGGTTCTTTCTCACTGCTTCTTTATAGGAACCCTCTAAACATCTAAATTGTCTGCTTGGCCCAGTCCACCATGCCCATTTCTGCCTCCATGCTCCCTCCCTCCTTTCTGCTGCATTCTGCACTTGCCACCAGGCCCCACTCTTCACTCCAGGTGGCTTTCCTGGGTGCTGCACCTGCGTTGTTTTCTTACCCCCTACTGCGCTTATTGATCGCCTGTGCCTCTCCTCTCACACTTAACTTTTGTGTGCTTGTTGTTTTAGGTGAACTCTTTCATTGAAATGGAATGTACACACAGAGAAGTATACAGGTTACAAAGCAAAGGCACTTAGCACCTTTACGTAGGGTGAACACGCCCATGTCCTCAGTATTCTCCTCTTGTGCTACACACTCTGTTTCCCAAATGAGTTAGTGAGCACTTGGGAGACAGAACCACGTCCTGTGCCTTTTGGCATGTAAGTGCGTAACATGTCATAGTTTTCTCTTTTCAGAGATGTTGGATGTACACAGACACCTACAGCATTAGTTTTAGTTGTCATTTTGTCCAACAAGTATGTACTGATCATACGCAAGTCTATTAGATACTATTACAGGCTAGATACTCTCCCAGTGTGTAGTAGGGTGGGGCTTCTCCCTCTAGAGCTTGGATTTTAGTGAGTCACTAGAAATAATTGATAGAACTAAAAGAAAGGCTTAAGACTAAAGATAGAACAATGACCAAACCATAAGGTAACTATGTTTGCTAAATTGTTGCTAAATTCTGTTACTTAATCATCATAAACATACAGAGAGAACAAGAACTGAGTTGGGAAAGGCTAAAATGAAGGCTGGCACCAGCACGAGGGACTTCTGGCTAAGAAATCCATTTGATGTGACATCAAAGGTGTGAAAGAAGTGGCAACTTAGGGAGGGAAAAGAAATTCTAGGGTAATGAGAGCAGAGCAGAGAGATGCTAAAAAAAAACATAAGAAATACCAAATTTTTAGTAGCACTTTACAGTTTACAAGGTACTTTCATATCTTCTTCATAGTGGGTCCATTTTTTTTTTAAGAGACAGAGTCTCACTTTAAAACCCTAGGTAGAGTGCCGTGGCATCACAGCTCACAGAAACCTCAAACTCCTGGGCTTAGGCGATTCTCTTGCCTCACCTCCCAAGTAGCTGGGACTACAGGCGCCCACCACAATGCCCGGCTATTTTTTTGTTGCAGTTTGGCCAGGGCTGGGTTCAAACCTGCCACCCTTGGTATATGGGGCTGGCACCCTGCTCACTGAGCCCATTAGTGGGTCCATTTTGACCTTTGCCCCCTTTGGGGTTGGTAGAGTAAGTGGTGTCATCTGCCCACTGCACTGTCACAGCCTCCATGTCCAGGTGTGAGGCTCTTTCCACAGCCTGCTCTTCTTGCCTTCATGGAGCACAAGAAAGAATGTTTAGTCTTCTCTCAATTTTTCTATCACTGCACTGCAGTTGCTTCCCAGCCAACTTCATTATCACTGCGTTTGCTACTTCCCTTAACCCTGGAGAATCTCTCTGGCAAATCATGCTCTTTGGGAGTCATGGATGTAAGTCAGAGCAAGGTCATGGGTGGGTTGTGTGCAGTCCCTGTTACTGGAGAACACAGCATAGGGAGAAGAAGGTAGAGGACCCACAATCCTTGAAAAGTAACTTGTTGAAAGTATTCTGAGTTTCCTTTTAGTTGTGTTTTGTCTTTTCTTTTATTGCCTTGTTGGCTGTGGCTTTTCTGTACCTAGAAGGCTTCAGTTTGCAGAGCTATAAATCTGTCAGTCTCAGTAACGTGTCTTTCACTTCAAATTAATGTTCAGCAAAGGGCTTAGCAGATAACCATCTCAGGCTGAATTTCTGCACACAGAAGGGTGGATATGGTTTGAACAGGCTGCCAAAGCCAGGAAGAAAAGTTAATTGTGTAAGCAATGTAGACGAGAGCTGATCACCTTTCTGAAAGACAAGACAGTGCAGCACACAACCTCTAAATAGATCTCTGGGGTCAAGTTGATGTCATGTTGAAGAATCAATATTTACTAGGCTTTATAAAGTTAGCCTTTAATGAACCTCAGGCATTTTGCTAGGCCATTAATTGCAGGAAGAGGAAAGGCAACTGTGTCTGAAGTCCATGGTGGAGTTTGTATAAAAATAAGTGAAGAGACAGTCACGTGTCAGTGTGCAAAGGTCCCACCCTTAGGCTCCACTGAAGCATTGTTGGGTACACACATTGCTGTGTGACTCCATATCCAAGGAGTGTGATTATATTTTTCTGGGACAATTTTGATGTCATTTTGGATTCTGCCTTACAAATATGCTAACCACAAAGTCAGGTCTGAGAGTATGGCTCATCCCTCCCTCTGACACATTTGAAAGCTTTTATAAAATGGGAGATTATGGGAAAAGCATTGAGGATGCTGGCTTGAATCCAAGTCTAATTAAAGGTTTTTCATAGATCTCATTTGCACTTGTTCTGTCATTCCAGTGGGAGGGAGCACTCTGTACACTTGTGGTTGTGTCATTGTCTGCACCCCTCACTGGGGCGCCTGAATCATTTGTGGGTCAGGAGCCTTATCTCTTGTTTATATTAGTCAGTGTTCCTCATAAATGTTGCTGACTAGATAGAGGCGTATGTTATATCAAGTTTAATCCTCCCTACAGCAACACTAGGATCCTAATGGATCCCACTTGTTTGGTAAGCAGCTGACCGAAGTCTGAAGCAGCCCTGTGAGTCAGGATGTGGCCCCAGGATGTTTGTTACAAGTTCTTGGTCATATCTGCTCAGGAGATAAACTTCAGATTTGACTTTCCAGATCTTCTCTAGTGCATGTTGTCAGGGGAGACTTTAGAATTAATCAGAGCAAAGAAAAGGCTCTTCTTTCCTCCCACCCTCATTCCTAATCTCCAGGATCATTATTCACAATAAATACTGAAAAGAAAAAGTACAAGAAACTGTTGGGATTGATGTGGTTTGGTGTTTTTACAAGAGAATCTGATGTTTAATATTTCCATCTATAATTTTCTTTAAATACTCATTCTGGGTCACTGTTCTTCTTTTACAGTTGTTTGAGAACTTCTACTTTGGTTCCCTAAAACTAAACTCAATTCACATATCTCAGAGGTTCACTGTAGACAACTTTGGAAACTACGCCTCCTGTGGACAAATTGACTTCTCCTAAGAAAGAGAAATTGCACTTCCAGACCAGATGCTGAAGAAAAATATCTTCATTCTCATTGCCAAGGAGTGCTGTGAATGTTTGGATACATGGTTCTCCTTGGACTCACCATTGCCTCTAATGGCTGTCTACAGTCATCAGACTGTCAGTCAGACAAGGAGAACTTGGCCTGTAACCCTTGGCTTGTTCTTTTTTTTTTTTTTTTCCTTCTATCTTGTTATTGTGGTAAAATACATACAACATAAAATTTGCTGTCTTGACCATTTTAAGTATAGGTCAGTTTTAATAAATGCATCCATAATGTTGTGTAGCCTTCACCACCATCTATCTCTCCAATGTTCTTGTCTTATAAAATTGAAACTCTATACCCATTAAACAATACCTGGCAGCCACCATTCTACGGTCTCTAAGATTTTGGCTACTCTGAGTTATTTCATGTAAGTGGGATTACACAGTAGTATTTGTCTTTTTTTTTTTAGATATAGAGTCTCACTTTATTGCCCTTGGTAGAGTGCAATGGCGTCACAGCTCACAGCAACCTCCAACTCCTGGGCTTAGGCAATTCTCTTGCCTCAGCCTCCCAAATAGCTGGGACTACAGGTGCCTGCCACAAGGCAGTTTGGCTGGGGCTGAGTTCGAACCTGCCACCCTCGGTATATGGGGCCGGCTCCCTACTCACTGAGCCATAGACACCGCCCTAGTATTTATCTTTTTGAGACTGGCTTATTTCACTTAGCATAGTGTCCTCAAGGTTCATCCATGTAGTATCATGTGGCAGGACTTCCTTCTGTGTTTAGGATGAATAATAATAATAATAATTCCATTATATGTGTGCACTACATTTCATTTATCCATTCCTGGACACTTGGTTGCCTCTTGCCACTTGCACGTGGTGAGTAGTGCTGATACAAATGTGAGTGTACAGATACCTCTTTGAGACCTTGTTTTTAATTCTTTCACTACCTAGAATTTTACCATTAGCAAAATAACTATTAAAGTTTTTTTCTTTTACTTTGCTTGATCTGTCCTTTTTCTTCTAAAATTAGTCTTTTTAAAGAATACTTGTATTCTTGTTCCTATTCCCCGACCCCACCCCACTTTCCTGTGCCCCAGATGGAGTTGCAATATTGTAGCTCTTTTCTGTTACCTCTCAGTAGCAGAAAAGAGGCAGCAGCACAGAAGCAATGATGACATCAGCAAGACTGTGCAAAGTTCCCTGGCATGATGTCAGCCACAGAGGGCACCTGGTGCTCCCTCACTGCAGACCGGCTCCAAGGGAGGGAGTGCTCCCAGCTCCAGCTTTGCCCCAGCCATCCCATCCGTTCTGCCAGGGGAGCTCTAGCCTCACATTCTTCCTCCCTGCGTGTCCCCTCCTTCTACTCTTCCCTTCATTCCTCTTTCTTGATTCTTTCTATTCTCTATCTGCTTTTGAACCCTGTTATGTTAAGGTCGCTACACGGTGAAGATTGTGCCTAACACGAGAGATTTGTTTATCAGTGGGATGGCACAGATCATTTGTGACTAACTGAATTTTCAAAGTAACTATGTTCTTCTGTTAGTATAACCACATAGTTTTAATTTGACCCTTAGTTAGTTTGTGTTGGGATACAATGTCGCTGTAAGTCATTCACTGGCATCAAGGACTTGGATATTGGTGTCTGCAGGGCCGACTTTCCCCAAAAGGCCTCTGCTTTCTACTGGAAATATTAATTTTTATTTAAGTTGAGATTTTCGGCGGACTTGCCCCAAAAGGCCCCTGCTTTCTACTGGCAATGTTAATTTTTATTTAAGTTGAGATTTTACCTCACCACAGATGGGAAGGTGGGGGTGTGTTCCCGTGGATATGCTCGTCACAAAGCCGACTGTGGAGCTGAGTGCCCGTGCCTCTTGGGGCTGCCTCTCTCTCATTGTTTTTCTGACAAGCCAGTAGGCAACTTCGGCCAGGAAGTAAAGTTATCTTCTTTTGGGTGTCAGAGATTTGTGACTTATGTTTGTAGGAAAATTTTTTTAAAGTTTAATCTTTGGAAAATAATAACTTTATATATCATATATTAAATTCTTAATAGAATTGGAAATTCTGCTGTTTAGAATTGGTTACTATTTATTCTCTATGCATTTAGGCATATATTGTTAGGTAATGTTTCACAACTTGTTTACCTTTTTCATTCTCATTCTCTTACAAGTATACAGTGGAGTTTCCCAAAGGCTATGTGATTTGATGACATCATGACTCTACTTTTGTCAGTATGTATGTTATACTTCAGTTTAAGTGGTTAAAAAATAAATGTCATCACCCAGAGTAAACTTGTGATCACCTCCATTCATAAGTAAGAGTTGTACATGGTCAGATGATTTAACTCAAGGACTGCCTTTACTCCCCATGCATTTAAGCACATACCAAATATGATAGATTAATTTTTCACATTAGTAAAGTGATCATATTTGTCATTAATACATGCATTAACTCAATCCTTACAACAGCCCACTTAAATTGGTATTATTATTATCTTAACAAACTGAGGCGTAGGAAGGTTAAGAAATTTGCCTAAGGTTATACAGCTTGTACCAGGCATTCTTAAAGTGTTCTTCTGTACTCTGAGGACTCTCCAAGAACCTTTTAGATGGGGTCATTGAGGTCCAAGCTATTTTCATAAAAATACCAAGGTATTATTTGCCTTTTTCACTCTCATTCTCTCATGAATGTTCAGTGGAGTTTTCCAGAGGCTATATGACATCACTCTGATGGCTATTGCAATGTATGCTTGTTTAATTTTGTTTCCTAGAATTTTTTTCTTTTTAGAGACAGAGTCTCACTTTGTCACCCTCAGTAGATACTGTGGCATCACAGCTCACATCAACCTCCAGCTCTTGGGCTTAGGCAATTCTCTTGCCTCAGCCTCCCGAATAGCTGGGACTACAGGCGCCCACCACAATGCCTGGCTATTTTTTTGTTGCAGTATGGCTGGGGCCGGATTCGAACCCGCCACCCTCAGTATATGGGGCCAGCGCCCTACTCACTGAGCCACAGGTGCCACCTATGTGTCCTAGAATTTTGTAAGTTGATACACTTAGGGTACAAATATGTATGTTTTCAGAGATTAACTCAGTTCACTCACAGCACTTCCCTTTTTTTTTTAATTCATTTTTTATAAGTTATTTTATTTATTTATTTCATTTTTGCAGTTTTGGCTGGGGCCGGTTTCGAACCCACCACCCTGGGCATATGGGACTGGCGCCCTACTCCCTGAGCCACAGGCACCACCCAGCACTTCCCTTTTGATTTTACTAGCTATTTTCATTTGTACCTGCTGCTATGGGCTGAATTGTGTCCCTTCAGAATTCATATGTGGAAACCCTAACCCTTACTACCTCAGAATGTGACTGTTTATTTGGAGATAGGGCCTTTAAAGAGGTAATTAGGTTAAAATGAGGCTGTTAGAGTGGGCCCTAATCCAATCTGACTGGTGTCCTTATAAGAAGAGGAAATTTGGGCACACAAAGAGACACCTAACTAGTGTATGCACAAAGGAGGAACCATGTGAGGACACAGGAGAAGGTGGCCATCTTGAAAGCCACGGAGGCCTCGAGAAACCAAACCTATCAACACTTTGATCTTGAACTTCTAGCCTCCAGAACTATGAGAAAATAAAATTCTGTTGAAGCCACCTGGTCTGTAGTATTTTTGTTATGGTAGCCCTAGCAGGCTAATACACTTGCCGTAATACAGAAGCTGATACAAGAATCAGTCTTTTTTTGAGCCAGACATTAAAGAAATTTGTAAAAATGTAAAATACTTCCACTCTTTTAACTGAGATACCCCTCTTTTAACTGGGATGATTTGGGGGGAAGATATAGCTGTTTTTCATAAAATATATTGTTTTCTAGTATGAATGGGCATGTACTATTTTTAAATTAATAAAAAATGTAAAATTAGTTTACTGATATTTACTGTATCAGTAAACAAAATTTCTTTGGGGCCCTCAATAATTTTTTAGTGTCAAGAGCTCCTGACACCAGGAAATTTGAGGATTGTCAAACTTCCAAATGGGATCGATTATATGGGATAATTTTTAGCAAGCTTTTCTCAACCAGTATGTACATACATAGTGAATTGCACTGGTTTTCAGTGAATATGAAGCTACATCATTTTATTGATCTGTTAATTTCAGAGACAGAGTCTTGCTCTATTGCCCAGGATGGAGAGCAATAGCATGATCATAGCTCACTGTAGTTTTTTTTTTTTTTTTGAGACAGAGTCTATGTTGCCCTCAGTAGAGTGCTGTGGTGTCACAGCTCAGAGCAACCTCAACCTCCTGGGCTTACACAATTCTCTTGCCTTAGGCTCCCAAGTAGCTGGGACTAAAGGCACCTACCACAATGCCTGGCTATTTTTTGGTTGTAGTTGTCGTTGTCTGGCAGGCCCAGGCTGGGCAGGGCTCAAACCTGCCAACTCTGGTGTATGTGGCTGGCACCCTAGCCTCTGAGCTACAGGCACCACCTCACTATAGTCTTGAATCCTGGGCTCAAGCAGTCTTCTCACTTCAGCCTCCTGAGTAACTGGGATGATAAACATGTGCCATGCCTGTCTAATTAAAAAATTGTTGTTCAGATAGGATCCCACTATGTTGCCCAGACCAATCTTGAATTCCTAGCTTCAAGTAGGAGCTTCCTCCTGCCTCCATCTCCCAAAGTACTGGGATTACAGGCATGAGCCACCACGCCCCCCACATCATTATTTTTAATGTCTTCCCAATAGTCCATTGTAGGTATGGAACTAGTTTCTTCCTGATTAATGAACATTGAGTTGGTTTCTAGGCTGGGCCATTATGAACAATTTTGGGTTGAAAATGTGCATTACCTGTGCCTGTCGGGTTATCTAGAAATGGCATTAAGTGTTTGCAAGATGTACTTAAATTTATGTTTATTGTTAGGAAACTAAAGGTTTACCTTTTCCACTTGGTATAGTTAAATATTGAATGCAAACAGAAAAATGCACAGAACGCAGAGGGTTAGGGTTTCATACATACACCCAGCAGCTCCTTGTTTGGGACCATTGGTTTGAAAAGGTTGACCCATCGGTTATTCTTTCAAAAAATAGGAAAAATTTTTCTTCTTTATAAACTAAAATTATCACCCTTTTCTACTACTCTCATCCCTGTCACTTGGAAATTTGCATCTTCCTCCTAAACAGCATGACTATGAGGTTACCTAACAGCCCCGGACTGTTGCTGATTTGCTTTCAGCACAGGGGAAATATTGACCCAGCTTAAAGGCACTGCAGAAAGCGAATCCCATTGGAGTAGCTGCCCAGAAGTGTGGGAAACATTTTAACCTTCAAAAGTCTGGAGACATCTACTGTCTTATTAATGGGCCTCTTATCAGTGCCTCCTCAAACTCTTTATTCAGCAACTTTGGTGCTCCAG